TATACCCTTCAAAGAAGACTCTGCTTGCAGCCACTCCAACTCAAACCTTTAGGGTTTAGGGTTTATTTAACCCGTCGCCAGGAATCCTGCTGCCTTGTCTACGCAGTTACGGGTAGGAGGCTTAGGTTTTGCTTTGCGGCTGCTGCTTGCTTCCTCTCAAAGGGTGCAATGCAAAAACTGAGCTTTAGGTAAACTGCCCATGCAGTCAGACATTCATGCTCGGGCAAATAGCTTAAACCTTAGATCCTAGATCCTTAGCCCGTTTGGGCAAATGCCACCTGTAAAGGCTCAATGCTACATTGGCATTTCTACAGTTCGTTATCGCACTTCTGCTCTCGTTTTGGAGTTGCTCAAACTGGGGGGTATTCTAGGAACCTTACGGCAACATAGATATGAAGGGGATCATGGGGATTCTAAAGATTCAAGAGGAGGCACTGGAATCATTCTGACGAAGCTCCCATGTGTGGACAGTCTATGGTGGCTCCGAACCCACGTCCCCTACCCCCCCTGTTACCATCTCAGTAGAGTGTGTTCCAAGGATGCCGATTCAAGGCAGAATCCTAGGGGGCGCAGTACCTAGAAGCCTCTGTCCAAGCCCTTCTTGGGGCGTGTCAACGTGGGTCTAATCCGAACAAATGGTGCACAGGCACGTTACCCAAATCAAGGAGTCGGCTGTACCTCTATATCCCTCTACACGCACCCTACGCACTACTTGGAGTCGAAGGACGACTTACTTAAGTGGTAGACTAAAAACGGGGATAACTGACTTATTCTGAAATCTAGGGGTGCTATACTAAGCAAGCCAACCTGACCACCAAATACCCATACCCTAAAGCCTATATTTGCTAAGTCCCCCTGACCACGCAAGTACCTAAACCTAGACCTTAGTACTCACAAAGCCGTCCTGACTGATGTATAGACTATACCTGAATCCTGAAAAATGGTAAAATCATTGCCCAAAAGCGTGTAGCACTAGGCACATGGGCGATTTTTCTACGTACATACCTTGGAGCCAAAGAGAGAGCCCTTTGTAATCCCTATCAACTCTTGTATCCCCTAATGAGCTACACTTGGGTTCCTATCCAGGAATATACTAGGGACTATGCTAGAAACAAATAAAGGGAAACCATGTCCATTCTCAATGGTCCCTTGGTAAACCCGAGATTGACAATAGCTCACATAGCTTGAGTGTACCCCCCTCTCCCCACCCTGCAATAGTGGAATAAAAGGAGTCTAAGAGGACATTTGTGTAATCACCATTATCCCGTCTGGTCACTATCACTGGATGAGGGGCCCAGCTGATGCATCTAAACCCTAAGACCAACATTCACAGTAGATCATATATCCCTAAAGCTTAAATCCTAAACCCTAGAGCCCTAAACCCTGAACCCCTTTTAGGGTAAAACCCTAAACCCAAGGTAGGTGGTAGTTTCCCAAAATAAAGGAAGCCCAATACATAGACCCCAAACTACTGTTGTCCTGACTATTGGGACCTGCAAAAAAGGTACCTCTAATTTTCAGAAACCCTATAAACCCTAATCCCTGAACTTTATACATCCCTGAAAACCCGTATATCTCCCTTTAAAGGTACCCCTAATCTTCGGAAACCCCCAGGTGATGTATGTCGCAAACACGGCGCAGACGCGCTTTGCGGTTCGCAAGCTCACGCAGCCGCGTGGCTGGAGGCCTGGGCTGTCCACTTCCCTAAGGGTCCAAGAATGGAGCCCCTGTTTACAGTGATATAGGTATAGACTTATATATATATGTATGTATATAGGGTTAGAAGTGTTTTAGGGGCTCTTTTATAGGATGTTATAAGGGTTTTAAGTTTGAAAGTTATTATAGAGGTATGTGTGTTACGGGTGGTGTACGGGTTTTCAAGGGGGTAAATACGTTTTATAGAATATTTTGGCGGGTATGTAGGATTTTAGAAGGGGTGTATAGGGAGATGTAGGGAAGATAAGGTTAAGGGTCCAGGTGTCCGATGATGTGCTACTTGGGACTCTGAGATGAACAGTGGCGTGGGTGAACCATGTGAGGCTTCGGTACTTGAACCCCTGGGCCTACCATGGGCCAACCTGGACCTTCCAATGATGATTGGGACCATGAGGGCTTTTCCAAGCATATTAGGGCTTATTAGGTCTCATCGATCTCACGGGGGCCGCATATTGGTTGGGCCCGTGGTATACACCCCCCGAAGGTCCAGATCCATGCAGGCACATAATGCATTCTTGTGTTTCGGGTTTAGGGTCTAGGGTAGGTACAGAGCAAATGCATACGGAAGGAAATGGCTCCTTGTAATAGGTATTCTGGCGGGGTTAAAGACATAATATATGCGCACCAGGTCATTATTGGGAATCTGCTTTGAGCCCCTGAGAGATGATGTTGCTTTTACGGGATGAGATCAAGCTTGTCAAGTGTCTATGTAATGGGACTAACAGCGTATCCAACAATGACTCAGACTTCTGTTTCAAAGGATGTCTGGTCCTTCAAGGAACCCTAAAAACCCTACTAAACCCTAACGTAAGCTTATCTGGGGTGCCTTGAGCTGAAGCAGTTGATTGAGCCCACCAAGAGCCCCCTCCAAAGGTGGCTAAACGCAAGTGGGCGACTGGGGATTCCAGAATAGGCTTGACGTCGGATTTGTTGATCAGCATGCATTTGGCTGTCTGGATGTCTGTTTCCTACAATTTCAGCATTGAACTGCGTATACAGATCACCGTGAAGACCTCGCACTGCAGCCTTTGCAGTTGTGCATGTACATGTGCCGGGCCTAATAGGCAAAATCTGGTAATCTTCCGAAATAGGGGGACTCCAATACAGACCACAAAATACTGTAATCCTTATGGGTACCCCCAATTTTGGGGAACCACCATCTATCACTAAGTCCTCTGGGGGTTTCTGAGAACAGCTGGCCCTGAGGACTGGGGATCTGCTGGGAATATAAACAGATTCTAGGGGTCCCTTACGGACTATGTAGTAATAGTCATATAGTAATATAGTAATATAGCAATATAGCACTGTAGTAATAGACATAGTAATAATAGTAGTAATAGTATTACTAATACTAATCATTTTGAAAAGTTTCCTCATCATGTTTCTTGGGGCTGCGAGCAACTGAGTTTCAGCGGCCTGGACCAGATTGAGTTTCAAGTCACATTGATGAGCCCGGAACCAAGGCCCTAGCGTCTTTGTCCAATACTATTTCTTAGTACCCAAGGTTATATCTCTGGGATTCTCTGGGTATTTAGGACACGAACTTCAAGGGTGCAAGCCTACAGCACGCAAACTTGAAGTCTTTGAGTCTATGTACAGTTGGTCAAACCAACATATGAGGGTTCGGGTGTCTGGCAGATGTATAAACCATACACCCCAAATTAAATGATTAAAAAAAAACAAAAAAAACGGAACCGCAAGCACATTTTGCTTGCAAACTTACAGAAACGCAATTCCTCGTTCGATCCCTTGCGCCTTCTGGGGCCTTCCCTCCATCGCCAGCACCGCGCACCCCCAGCAGCGCGCTGCGGTCCTGTACGTCTAAAACCCCACAAATGTGCTTTCTCAATGTGGATGGTTTTAGTCTTTGGGTCTAGGGTATACAGGATCAGGGAATATAGTGCCATAGTAGCTCTGGTTAGAATGCTAACCAAATGAGGGTTGTAGAGCTAAGAAAGAGCATCGCAATTCTGTGAGGAGGAGTTTTGGGTAGAAAAGGGGAAGTAGATGGCCAGCAGCGACGACGACGACGACGACGACGAAGGCGACGAAGGCGGCGACGACGTCGACGATGACGACTACGACCACGACGACGACGACAACGAGGAAAACTACTATTGAAATCTACAAGCACCCGCCCTTAAGCCCTAAGCCTGAATCCAAACCCCCTAAAACCTCAAACCCTAACCCCAAACTCAACCCCCTAGACCATTAGGGCTGAGAGGCTTTATAGTGCTTCTAGGAATCTTTGCTCTAGGGCCTCAGGGTTTAGGGGCCGTGGTAGGACCCCCTTTATAGCTAGACTTGAGTGTCTGGGGAGTTCATGGGGACGGCATTCATTTAGGACGTCTTGCTGCCGGGTTTAGGGTTTAGGGGTACTATTCGGGCCTGGCCTATGCAATGAAAATCTGGACCCTGATTAGTAGACCCCCCTCCCTTGATAAGGATCATGACCGGGGTCCCAATATTCGGCCATTCACGACTGGAATGATGGTTCGGCCGTGGTGGGGTGCAATGGCTGAAGTCTTGGAGGTGGGCTCAAGGGCTTAATATAGCGGCCTGAATTATCAGACAATGGTTTTGAGGGGTTCTATCATAGTAAAAGCGCATATAAGCGCACTAGGGAAGCCTAGGGACTATAGCTATGCTATGCTAATTATTGAGGGCCCTTGTTTTAGCAGTATTGAAGACATTTGAAGACTTAGGGTGGGGGAGGCGGCTCACACAGTTTTTGGGAGTCAGGGCCGGTTGATGTTTACGGCCCGAAACCGAGATCCTAACACACGTAAACCCAAGCCCTAAACCCCATCAGCCGCAAACCCTGCACCAAAAGCCCCTTGAAGCTTAAATTAGACAACTGAAACCTTAAAACTCAGCCCTGAAGGAATAACCTCAAGCCGACCCTCGAGCCCTCTAGCTCATGCGGAAATGACGTGCTTCGGATTTGTAATTTCTCCTTCGGGCCGAGAAAAGGGTTTAGGGTTTGCGGGGGTCAAAGGGAAACTCTGAAGGCATTCGAGGCGTTCAGGGTTTAGGCTTTTGAGGGTTTCCAGCTTTTGCTGCCTAAAGTTAGGGCCTTTTCGTTTCTCAGGGGGGTGGGCTCTCGGAGCCCAATTTTTAAGATTGCTGGTGTGGAACCCTTATTACATCTTATTAACGCAGCCACAGAACAGGATCCCGGCCCGTAAAGCAAAGGCCCATGGAATGCAAACTGCGAATTATTCGGAACTCTCCTTGCCTGAGATCTTATGAGTGTTGCGAGCATACTCCGGTTCCTACAGGACCAGAGAGGGTGATCTTCGAGTTACAGCAAACAGTGCGGAGCCTTGAGATGTTGTGGGAAGGGCCTTGGCCTCTAGGCATTCTTTCTTCAAGCGGATCTGCACCGGTACATCGCCCCAAGATGTCTGAGCTTCTACAGTTGCAACAACTGCAAATCCAGTGTCGTGCGTCCACGGTGAGAATGAGGCGACAATCGCTCCGGATCGAAGGTTGCGATCAAGATGAAGCTCAAGCTGCTCATGCAACGACTGCTCGAAAGAGTAATCCTTCGTTGTTGAAAACACTTGAATTTCAACTCTCAGGGCTTAGGCTGTGGGGTTAGTTCGGCAAAAAGTGGTTGGAACTAACAACTCTGAACGCGCTACCGAAGAGATTAACGAACGTGCTTTATTTGGAAACATATCTTTTATGGAATGGGTTGATGGGCCAATGACCTTGGGATCTAGAGTTTGGAGGGACATATTGCATTCACAAATTGCGAAATGCTGCAATCTGAAACCAAGCAATAAGACTAAGCTTTGTGCTGCTGGAGGGTGTGGGGGAGATGGGGGAATTTGCTTTGCGCTTTGCAGCTCGTGAAAATTCGACATGTGTTGGCATGAAAGCAAACAAAACAAAGCGGTTGTTTTCCCAACGCTCTTGTGAAGCACAGTTCTTTGATATGGATTAAGTTCTTCAAGCTTGGAAACGAAACAGAACCGTGTTCCCGAATGCCTTGTGACATGGACCACTTCAAAGTCATGGGCCGCGCGTTATCAAGTTCGCAGTTCGGATATCAACTTTCAATTTGAAAGCCTGAGTGATTGCAAGTAAGTGTGTTCCTTCTTGAGGGATAGGGGTTTACGGTTTCGCTCGCATTCGCTGGCCTCCTAAGCCTGCTGCAGCATGTTTTTTGTTTCAATTCGCCTCAATGGGTCTAGGATTTACGGTTCAGCGTGTTGGCCTTTAAGTTCTACATGAGGGTTCCAAGTACACAAACAAAAGCTAAAGGGTACATTGTGCGACAGACAAGAATCGTTGAGAAAGACAACCGCTGCTTCTTCCAAGCCCTCGCTCTCCACTGCACTGCCACAAACATGTCTGATTGAGAGCTGCTCCAGATTGTGCTCGGACACAATGCGACGGGCCTGACTCACTGTTGAGTTGCAAAGCACATCGTAGCCGATGCAGGACATCCCAAAGGCAGCCGCGAAGAAACATTGCTCTCCGAGGCCACTCCCCATGATGAAGGTCAGCGGCCGCGCCCCGGCCATGCGAGACGAGTGTGAGCGGGCTGCGTCCATAACCCGCCGAAATCCTGGGAACCAAACTGAACCAAAGGAAGATGCAGCGCCGAGCCGGTTCTGCGACAGCCCGAAGACCGCAACCGACTCCAGGAGAAACGGCACCTATAGGTTTTTCAACAACCCAACCTGGGTTTAAGTACCGTGACTTCAAGAAAAGGGGGAAACACACAAGGCACTACGGGACCTAGGCACAAGCCAGGCTTCCTCAGACTCCAGCGATCGAACCGCTGCCAAGGCAACCGGAAGCTTCCTGCATCATCGAAACTCATCTCAGTCAAGCAGTTTAACAGTAAAGGCAACCCATTGGAACCTAAACCCTAAACCCGAAACTAGCCAAAGCCCTAACCCAAATTCTTAACCTTCAACCGTATAGAAAAAAAGGAAAACCCAAAAATGATAACCAGCTTCCTCAGGGGCGGCTCTCGGCAAGCCTCCACGAAAGATGCCGCCTCCTTTCGACGAGTTTCCAGATACAGCGTCTCATCTGGCAAGTTCATGATGAGGGAGCTCGTGGGCCGACCTGCCTCTCAATTCTTCACGGAATGGCTTAGGGTTTAGGGTCAGGGTTGAGGTTTAGGATATACCTCATTAAACTTGAAAGTCATGTGCGAGAGCTGTCTACGCCTCCCGTCGCAGCTGCACGGCGCGCGTCAAGACCTCAGTAGCTTCTTCATTGGCGCCCCGCGCTGCAAGGAAAATCCCGAGCCACTTATAAATGTCAAAGCGCTCGCACTCCTCCGGTACGAATTCGATGGCCTTGCGGTAGCTCTTCTCGCTTGCCAGCAACTTGCCATGCTTGTGCTGTAGACGTCCTAAGCCGAGATGGGCGAGGCCAGTGGAGGCCTCGAGCTTCAGGGCTGACATGTAAGCCTTTCGCGCGGCGCCATCCCTCCCGAGATCTTCATAAAGAGATGCCAAGCTCACATAGAGAGAGGGGGCTTTTGCTGTTTCCAATGCCGCTAGCAACAGCTTCTCGGCGCCAGCGTAATCCGACTGCGCATGTCTCAGTTCTGCGAGGCGTTTGATTGATTTCACATTGGCAGGCTCAAGCCGTAGGGCCGTCTGGTAGCTCTTCTCGATGTCTGACGTTTTGCTGCCGGCTACAGATTGGATGTAGCCTAAATTGGCCCAGGCATCTGCCGACGCGGGGTTCAAACGCGCAACCTCTGCAAAACTCCGCCTGGCCGCTGCCATGTCCCCGAGAGAAGCCAAGACTTGCCCCAAAAAGTGATGTGCTTCCCCACTTGAGGGCTCGAGTCGAAGAGCCTCCCGGACGCTCGCAACTGCAGCATGGTGCTGCCCTGCTGCAGACAGCTCCTGCGCTTGACGCAAGTGTTCCAGGCTCTTGCCTGCCCCGGCCTGAGCCGGAGCAGCAAAAGCTATCAGCAGGATGGCGCTCCGGAGCAAGCAAGGTTTCATAAGGAAAGGGCGGTCGAACTGTCCCGTTGCCGTGCTAATGCACACGCGAGTCTTTAGCATGCAGTAGACTGACGAGAATAAGCTCAACCCTCACTACTGGAAGATGTAGCAACAATGTGTAGCCACTATATTCACCTTGCCATGGAAGCACTCACTGATAGCATTCGGGGGCTGGGTTTGCGTAATGGGCCTTTGAAACCCAAGATCCCCCGAAAGCAGAAGCTGTCTTTCCTCTGTATTCTAAATGCTCCTAGCTCCAAGCACTCCCTAAGGGTCCAAGGACCTAAATAACAGGGTTTTAGGGCCCAAATACTATAATATTAATGGTATTTGGGCCCTAAAGCCCTACTATTTAGGTCCTTGGACCCATAGGGACTGATAAACCTGGTGCCTGCTACACTGGTGGTGAACATCCGGGGAAGAGGCGGTATCAAAGTGAGTACCAGGGTGATGCTTAGGCAGAGGTTTCGTTCCGAATATGCCCTTTGCAAGACGTGGGCTTCTGGCCATCCTACACCCAAATAACCCGAGAGAGTCAGTTCCTACATCCTGAGAGCTGACATCTGCAAAGGCTTTTCAACATAATCCTTCGGTTCGGGGCCTTACAGTCTTTGGGAGGCCCTCGAATCCTACCCCATGTGTCTCTACAGAATCGCCGCTCAACAGTTCCAGTAGCTTGAGCAGCAGGCGCCGCGAACAAACACACAGGGTGCCCATGCCGTCATGGGTTGACAGGCTTCGCTTGGCGACTTTGTGGTGGATAAAGCTTACGTATGCCAAAGCAAGATGGTAGTTCCCCTAAATAGGGACCCCAAGATAATATAGTCCTTGCTATGGGGACCCCCAAAGAGGTATCCCTACTTTTGGGAGACCCCAGATGACTTCACTCTTGAAATGTGGTGGACTGGCTGCTGTTTTCATACTGAAGATGCACTCCGCTGAGATGAGCCTGGCTTGGGGAGTGGTTTAGGGTTCCGGACTCAGAGAGACAATCATGGTAACAGGCAAGGCGCAGAGAAGGGATAGATTGATTAGAGGGGCGTTCGTAACAGCATACAGGGGTATGTGAACGTATGTAACTTGTTGGTTTTAAGTAGGTAAGAAGGGAATACATTATTTAGGGGTTATATAGGGATTATAACCCGATATTCCCTTCTAAGAACCTATAGACTCTTCTCTGCGGACATGGAACCCCAGAACCCCCCTTCTCAAGGAACAGAAATCTGTACAGAGCCCTGCTTCTGCAATCCCAGGAAACCAATAACAAGATATCATGTTAAATGACTCCTCAAGGTGATACTATGATAACAATGAACCATAACCCTAAAAAACTAAACCCTAAAC